GCTAATCCACAAACAGAACCCTGAAACAACCTCTGGGCTGATCTTAGTCAGGGCATAGCTAACTCACAAACAGAACCCTGAAACAACCTCTGGGCTGATCTAAGTCAGGGCATAGCTAACTCACAAACAGAACCCTGAAACAACCTCTGGGCTGATCTAAGTCAGGGTACGGCTAACTCACAGATTAAACCCCGAAACAACCTCTGGGCTGATCTAAGTCAGGGCATGGCTAACTCACAGATTAAACCCGGAAACAACCTCTGGGCTGATCTAAGTCAGGGCATAGCTAACCCACAGATCAAAATCACAATGTCAATGTTTCTATATAATCTTTCAATTACTGTAATAAAAAGGATAATCTGATAGTTATTTTTTACGTACGTGCTTTCTGCCCACGTAGAATACTCGGTGGAGTCGTATTCTTTCTTTAAAAATGCTGGAGACTCAGCCACTGAATAATAGACCGTTCCATTAACACAGATATCATCAGAGTAGTTTCCTGTCCCACGCATCCTTTGTGTGACGTGTGGCTAGAAGAATGGAAATGTAAAAAAAAAGACATTAAGTTATATTTGTATTGAACTTGTACGTGAAATATTACAGTATTTACTTGTTTAAGCACCGATTAAACACTGCCCTCAAATAAGTGCCGCACCTAAGACCACCAAAAATTAATTAACATGCGCCATCCCAGAATTAATGCCTCATATGGAACCCCAAAAATTGAATAAGCCCTTAAAGAAGCATGGTAACCTCTGTGCTGAATTAAGTCAGGGCAAAGAAAAACCATAGAGCCTGGGGAAAACCCTCGAATCAAGGGAGAGACACAACAAACCCTTCTCATGTGTGATACTGGGTCAAGGAATAAAAGCCGAGACCCCAGAGGCAAGAGGGGAGTGAACTTTTATTCATTAGAGAGTTTTAGATTGACTTTTTTTCTCCCCGCAAACAGCAAACGTGACCACGTTTTCATCGTTTTCCTGTACTTTACTTAACCTTTTACAAACTTTCTCACCAAGCGCAAATACTCTTTTGTTTTTCTACTACTTGGACTTTTTTGCGATTCTTTTTCAGTAATTTAAAATAATTTTAAAATGGTCAACTGACGTTTCACGTTTGCCGTGAACGTAAATCTAAAACTCTCTATTCTTGATCAATTCTATACATTTAGTTCTTCACTTCTAGAAAATTAATACTAAAATATATGGGAATAGACCTTATTTGTGGTGTGAAGATGCTTTTGCAATTCACCTTTTCGGCGCTAGCCGTCACGGGGTATAAATCGTTTTATATTGTGTTACTGTCACCAAAATGTTTGGACATTGTTCTAGGATTTCCGTACAAATGTACTGACTTTAAATGAACTATTTACTTGGTTTGTTTAGTTAGTTCTCTAAATACAAGTAAAGATCATTTTTCTAGCTTGATTGAAGCTTTTCTTACTGCTCTTAAGAGAGCTAACTAAAGAAATCTGTACCTAAATTTTCTCCGAGAACAATGTCACCGTAACACAATCCAAGCTAGCGCCGAAAAGGTGAACTGAACATGACAAACCTCTAGGGGAATGAACAGCTATTGTTTCAAAACTCATCAGGATATCATCGTTATTTCATTCATATCCTTTGGGATACTCATGAATTTTTGGAAGAGTAAAAACAAAAGAATATGAATCCTCTGGAGGTTTGTCACGCTGAATTGAGAAAACATTGTCACACCACGAATAAGGTCTATTTACTAGTGACATTTCATGAACTATGGATAGAATAGCCCACTCAGATGTGCTTTCACACCTAGTCTACTGTTTTCCAATTTCAAGCCATGCATCATTGCCTTGAGTATTATTTTCTTCATTATTTCCATAGTAAGTTTACAATTTCATTCTCAATGGAATGCTGTGGTCTGAAACAGGAAAGCATTATGCCCAATGGAAGGGATGACTCTCTTGTTAACTATAACCCATACCTTGTCTGATGAACAAGATTTTGTCAACAAGTGTTCCCCAGTGAAGTACAGGAGAAGGTTGTGGGTGATAAACGTGAGGGTATTGTTGGCTGTGTTGACGCTGACGTATCGTGATAATGGTGATGCCGCTGCAAAAAATATAAAATGAAATGTTACTAAGAAAAGTTCAAGTTTAGTGGCTGATGAACTAGGACAACCAATTTGCAAATAAACTTGATTTTTTCTTGAGACTGGTAGATCGTTTAAAATTAGACGCAAAGAACATTAAAGTGCTGTTGTGAAACAGGATAAACACAATAACATTGCCAGGCATCATACCAAAACTGGTCATACGATAGACTGGGAATCCAGTGAATGCCTTTCTTTTTGCAACAATAGGCAGCAACGACTTGTGCTGGAGAGTTGGTTTACCAAGTTTGAGCATCATCCACTAAACCGCTCAATTAACTTACCGGCTCTGTATAATAGGCTTATTAGAAACAATAAAACCGCCCACAACACCGAAACAGCGACTCACACTCATTAGACCAATGCCGCCATTTACGCTAATCCAGGTAATTAGGCTATTGTTATCGTGGCAGTATAAATATGACCAATCTGACTTTATTCTTTACTTGACTCTGAAGATGACTTCCGCTCAAGTTGTCGAAACGTCAGTCACATCAAACAGTCCTTCTCAGTCTCTTCTTCTTCCAACCGGATGATCATAATACTTCGATTTACAAAGAATTTTTTTATGGTTGGTGTTTGATTAAGCGTCCTTCCAGTGAGTTGTTAGTTCCCTTGGTCAGTTTCTTATGCACTCAAAATGCTACAATCTTCTGCAAAAATAATGTGCCACGTTCCCCCCTGTAACCCTAGCAATAATGGTCAAGGAAGTTTTCTAGACTGTGAAGCGGTTGGCTGGTAAAATGCATGCGAGACAACATTGCTACGGGGGGAGATGGGGGATGGTCCTCCAGAATACTAGCTGGCACATTTTTTTTTTGCAAAAGATTGTATTAGACTCTTATGTTTCCATCGTGCTTAACAGCCTCCTGCATGCGGCCAAAACTCGATGGAAGCTTGCTAATCAATGACCAATGCTTTATTATTTGATTTAATTGATTTTCTACTGTTGCTGCTATTTAATACTTACGCAACTTTGCCCCGATACTGCTGGTGAACACACTTTTGAACAAACTACAATCTGTTCTGTAGAAAGAGCAGTACACAAGATGACCAACCTGAAATAACAGCAATGCAGTCAGAGAAGACTGGTGAAGTTCGATTATTTGTGAAAAACACAAGTAATAATGATAACAAATAATAATAATGATACATTCTACATTTATAAAATGTCATATCTATCACTCTATGGTGCTTTACAATACACCCTAGAAGGATTCAAATGAAAAGTAAAATATTAAAGTGCTAGTCTTACGAAAATGACACCGTTCCTGGAAATTGTACCATATAAAACTAGATATGTAATATAGCTTACTGTCCAAATTCTTTTTCGATACAAGACTGGGAAGATGCTGTATTTAGCCAGTAAAGTTTGGCTGTTTGAGTCCGCCATTAAGCGATTGCGTTCCTGGCAACTTTTGGTGATTCGAAGGAAGTAACGTCATACGCGCAACCCTTCAAAATTCTTCAAATATTTTTGATTTAAAAACAAGCCTTAAACCAAGTCATGCCTTCTTACAGAGAATGCTGTAGAGTCAGTGTGGATAAAGAGGATGCCAGTTGCGCGTATGATGTCACACATAAATTAAAATGCAGCGACAAAATCGCTGCTCATAGAAATGGCAGACGAGCTTTTAACAATTTTCGGAAGTAGAATTCAGACGGGAAAAGTTTCTTTTTCGAAGCAATTATTGTTTATTGGTGAACATTATAATCTATTTGAGCATATAGAAATTCGGGGATCTTTTTGTGTCATTAATTTTTTCGTAAGACTAGTAAGGCTGGTAAGGCTTAAGTAACGACCTGGATCGAAACAACTGTGGATCAAAAAGACTGGCATTCAGAGAGAGAGGAACAGTGGAAGAGATGGACAGGCCTATCCGTTTTTAGTTTCCATGAAATAAAAATAAAATAATTTAAAAATCAATAAATAATAAATAAAATTCCTAGGAAYGCTTACAATGTCTTCGTCAGCCTTGAGTGGCTTCTTTGGTGCCTTCCCGTCATTTGCCAGTGTATAAAGAGCATTGGCTACAGTTGTAGCTACGTCTGTTAATCTCTGTTTGTACAGGTAAGAAATCAAATTAGTTTCATATCAGTTTTTTTTTTATACTTTGATGTTTCGATTGCAAACTCCTTTTTCTGACAAATAACATATCTTATATTTTTATACGTTTTACTCACTACAGTCAACTCTCGCCTTACGGACACCCCGATATTACTTACACATTGCTAATACGGACAGGAGAAAAATCCCGACAAAAATGCTGACAAAGAAATGGCCGTAAATAATTCTCGCTATTGCGGACGCTCGCTATTACGGACATGAAATGATGGTCCCGAGGGTGTCCTCTGTAACGAGAGTTGACTGTAACTCACTTCTGATTGGCCAAAAGGCCACAACCAATCCCTGATACCTTGTGAACTCAACATGATAAATGTAAGGCCCCGTCCACACGTATCCGGAAATTTTTGTATCCGCAAATTATTTTTTACGGATACGAAAATGTTTGCGTCCACACGCAGCGTATTCGAATCGTTTTCACCGTCCACACGTATCCGTTTTCGTAAAATTTGCGGATACGGACACAAAAACTTCCGGACACGTGTGGACGCAACCCGTATCCGTAAAAAAAATTTGCGGATACAAAAATTTCCGGGTACGTGTGGACGGGGCCTAATAGTTTTACAGGTTTTCCTGCTGATGTTACATATTTTGTCATGTTGAGTTCATAAAATGTCACAATACAGATTGTGTTTGCTATATCTTTGAATTAAAGTAGAATTAAATATATCTTTATTTTATCTTTATCTTAATGTAACATGATATATGAGTATGTATTGTGGTGCATTTTCTTACCTCTGTGAATTTATTGTGCAAGAAGATTTTGCTAGAGTTTTCAATCCTAGAAAAGTTCCCCTGGACATATAAAGCATCGTCAAAACGACTGTTATAATACCTTCAATAAAAAACAAACAAACAAAATGTTAAGCAAAAAATAAAATATTAACAATAATAATTATTAAAAGGAGAATAAAATAATATAAAACATAAATGAAAATAATCAGAGAAAAATAATGATTATGATTGAGTAAAATATGAATATGAAGGGAACGTGTGCTGAGACGACAGGGCAGAAAAACGGGTTCTACTTTGGACGTTAATAAGCTTTATATTTCATAAACAGGCTCTTTTGGGGCTGATTAACAAAATACCAAAATTTTGGGGAAATTTAAGGAATGCGTATTTGAGATATAACGCTTTGAACGTAGGGAGAGATGATATTTTGATCAGCACAAAAACGAACATTTTCGCCAATACCTCGAAGTAGAATTGCTCGAGATTAGCAGAATTTTGTGAAAAGTTTAAAGCACAAGAGACACGAATGAAACACTAGACTTTTTTTTTTAGCATGAATGAGAGATAAAGAAAAAAATTGCGAAAGCAGCCTTGTCGTTTTTCTGCTCTGTCTGCTGAGACAGGAAACTCAGAAAAAAAAGGTTTAGTTCCAGAAGGGAATCAAATCCAAAACCTTCTGTGTTCTAGTCGGACATTCTAACCACTGAGCTACGGGAATTCGAATGGAGTTAAGAGTTAAGAGTTAAGAAAGACAGGCTGCATTGCACAGTCACTGTAATGCCAATGCATACAGTCAATTCAAAAAATGTTGTCGTCGACCAACTCAAGCCTACGCGACTGGACCGAAAGGAACGCTGGGTAGAAATCATTGAAGCCAAGTTGACTCCATAATTTTATCTGGCTAGTTATGCCTCATTTACAGCACGAACCTTCGTAGGCGAGCGGGAAGTGTTGAAGGAGACATTTTTTCAATGCCTTCATATTTTCGGAATTGTGAACTGAATCATAACTACTTTGTTTTTCTTTCCCTAAACCCGAAGACAGCATTTGATGGATTGTTTCTCGCCATTATTATCTTATTACTAGCGAGAACAATTAATTCAGAACGAATATTTAACCGCTTCAGTGGTTTTTACCCATATTCCTTTCGGTCTAGTCGCGTAGGCTCGAGCCGGTCAACGACAACGTTTTTTTAATTGACTGTATGTTCGTATCAAAGAATGCCATTAAATTAACTTCATCACGCAGTCACATAAAGAGAAGGTCGTTAAATGTAAAACACATATTTGATAGCAATGCCTCAACATTGTTATCATACTTGTTGAGAAATTCAGCCTTGTGGTCTGTTAGTACTATTCCTGGTATTTCTTTGTTGGACTTGAGGAACTGTTGTAAAGATGCTGGCGGGAGGGGCTGGTCTTTGGGTGGTTTCTCCACGGACATATTTGCTTTCTTGCTGGCCTTTTGGAGTATTTGGAACATTTTGTCAATCTGGATATTATTAAATAGAATGAGAAAATCTACAAATGGGTTGATATAGAGATATAGTTGAAAAGTGAATGGATGGATGGATGGATGGATGAATGGATGGATGGGATGAACGGACGGACGGACGGATGGATTAATGGATGGACGGATGGATTAACGGATGTATGGATGGATGGATGAATGGATGGACGGACAGACAGACAGATGGATTAATGGATGGATGGATGGATGAATTAATGGATGGATGGGATGGATGGAAAGGACGGACGGACAGACGGACAGATGGATGGATGGGGAAGGATGGATGGATACGGACGGATGGATAAACTGATGGACATCCAGATGGTTGGATGGATAGGCAGATGGACGGACAGACAGCGATCCAAGTCCAATATGATAATACCTACCTCAGAGTCTACTCCTTTGTCTGCTCTTGTGATGGGATCTGAATGTGCCCATAATAATGAGTTTGTCCCCAGACCAACTTGATTAAGCTCAAGAATATACCCAATATCTGAGGTACTTATATTCAGGTCTTCCATTTTGCCAGTGACCTGTACACCAAAAGTAACAATGAATGGAGAATATAATGAACAAAAACCCTTAAGTTCTATGGACATTTTAAGAACAGTGAAATTGCTGGAAAAACTTCTCTGTAACAATAATATTTTTTATTATTACTTCTATTTAACAAATTGACATCAGATTTTTATGTGTCTGTCCTCTTATTGACGATGAATCGAGTCATCATATTGTCAAAGTAACTGAAGTAATATGTTGAAGTAGCACTTAAAGTGCTACTACGACGAAAATCGCTCAAACTTGGATTCAGCTGAAACTTCCTAA